CCCACCATCTCTACATTGGTAGCACTTATCAAAGCAACAATGAATACACCTGCGGCCGATTACTATGTCAGAGAAATCAAAGATCTAGGGTTACAATTCTTTACTAAGAATCAATTCCATGTGTTGTTAAATTATTACATTTCAAGGAAAGACGCTCAAGGGGTACAATCATTATGGCAAGAAATGTTAAATCTAGAAAATAATTCAATAATAGACTTTAAACCAAATAGTTATTCATATGTAAGATATATCGGGTTTCTCTGTAAAATGAATCTATTAGACAAGGCAATCAAAACACTTCATACAATGGAGAACGAAGGAATCCGACCTTTCCAAAGAGAATTTTTAGATTATGTAATTCAACCTCTTGCCATGAATAAACATCCTCAAGTAGCGTGGCAATTCCTCTCTTCTTATCGAAAACGAGTGTTGAGTTCACCAAATATTTATTCAAATTATTATTCATTAATCTTGGAAGCATTCGTGAAACAAAATGACCTTAATGCAGCGAGAAGAGTTTTGGTTGACATGGAACTAATAGGAGTAGAACTCGATGATAAAGCCAAAGAAATTCTTGCAAGTATACAAAATATCAAAGTTCAACTTGGTGAGGATGAAGCGTACGAATACGGATTGATTCCTGTTTTTAATGCAGGAAAACAGTAAGTACTCGTAAAATAATAAAAATAACTAAATCACTCGTTAGAACATCAAAATGTATTAAAGTGTCACAAACTGTTGATGTAACTTGTAACACTGGTCACGTCATATGGGGGAGGTTGGTTTTTATATAAATTTTGCAAATATTCATAAATAGATAACTTGATCAACTCCAGAGTCACAAACCACGAGTCTCGGGCCACGAGTTATTTTTTTCTCACTGTAAAAACCTCTTCTAATTAAGAATTACAAAACAAATGTCAACTAAATCACTTGAAAAAGCACTCCCTACAGAGTGTATTCACGAAATAATCTCTCATTTGACCCAAGACTCTAAAGCTCTTAACAACTGTATACGTACTAACCGTTTATTTGCGCGACTTTCTGCTCCACTTCTTTATAAAAATCCTTGGAAATATTTTTCTATTGAAGAGGAAGAAGGTGAACTTGTCAAAAGAGAAATTAATCCAAAAGGTGCTTTATTAATTGGAACATACTTAAGTTGTTTGGAAAATGATTTGTCGGTAGAATTTTCCTCTTTGAAAGAAAATTATATATTAATCACAGCCAAGACATCACTTGATTACATTTCTTTTACACGCCATATTAGTGTTCCTACAATGTATCGATTTCTTGAAGCAATGGTTGCAACAGCTACAACTTCAAATGTTGAAAGATCTCGTATGATTCAGGAAGCTTTTTTGGCTTTATCAAAGGCATTTAACGATCGTTGTACTTCTATTGATTCCTTAGAAACTTGCTGGCAAACGACGTGTGATATTTTTTCTCCAATGATCCGACGCTTTCCTAATGTTGCACATCTAGATCTTTTACAATATGAAAATACAGATGATACTCTGAGGTTTATTATTGAGAATTGTAAGAGACTTCGCGTTTTTAAACTAGTTGTACGTAATTGTACTCCAATACTTTTGTCGAATCTTGTGGAAAAACAAAAAGGTTGTCTCGATGAACTTTGCATCAAGATCACTGCATCTCCAAAATCATTGTTAGCGGGATTATCACCTTCTGTTATTGCTAAAATTACCGATCTTCGCATCAATGGTCTTCAAATTGATCATGCATTGGACGGTCTTAAGTTTCAAAAATTAAGATCTTTGGACATTAGTGATTGTCATAGTGTTGAAGACAAGACATTTAACGTTGTGGAATTCGGAAAGATGTTAACCGAAGTTAATCTCTCAGAGACCAAAGTGTCTGAGGAAGCTATTATTGCACTCGCCTCGCATTGCAAACAAAACCTTAAGAAGATGATCATGTTACCTTGTGGTGCTGCTGATTCTGTTGAAAAAGGCATCAAAGCTCTTGCGACACATTGTCCAAATCTTGTTGAATTCAGATTAGACGTGATTCGTGTAGAGATTAAATCCATCATGGATCTTGTAAAATCATGTAAAGGAATGCAGGTACTGGTCCTGGGTGGAGTTGAAATAAATAACGAAGATTGTTTACTTGATGAATTAATGGAAAGCATTAGATCCAATATTAGTCATTCAATAACTATGCTTGATTTGCGTGAATGGGGTGTTAGTGAAAATTCCGTAATAGAACTGGTGAGGGATTGTCGTAAGTTAAGTAAATTATTCTTAAGGTATTGTCGTAATGTTAACGATAATTGTATAAAATCAATTTGCAAATTTTTGGCTGGTAATCTTAAACATCTTGATGTTTCCAATTGTCCCTTGGTAACTCCTGATGTCATCACAAAAGCTGAATTGGAATTGGTTGATTGCCGGATAATTTATGCTTCAAGGCTTTATTGTATTGATATTTAATGTTTTGTTTTATCTTTAAAATACTATTTTTATTATCAATTTTGATTATATTATTTTTCTTAAACAAATTATTTAGTTTATTTTATTTTTCTTGCTCTTTTTTATTGTATGAAATGTATATTGTGTTTTTTCTTTTGTTTATTTATGAAATATATATTTGGCTTTTTATTAATTATATAGAATTTTTGTCACATGATTATTTTTTTTTGTGTAAAACTTCGTTTTACAATTTAGTTACTATATTAAAACGCGTGTAAATATAATATTTAAATAATACGAATGATATACTTTGAATTTAGTAATTTAACAGATTTATTATTTATTACACAATGAAAAAAAAGATTTTTTTTTTTTCTTTCTTCAAGTGGCAAATGAGTTTTCCAAAAATGCTAATTGAAAAGTAAATTATAATAAAGAATAATAATATTGGTAATTTTTTTTTTTTTCTTAAGATATCACACAACCTTTTTTTTTTTGCCAAAGGAAAAATATATATAAATAAACATTCTTAAATTTACGTCAAAAAAGAATACTAAAAATATAATGTAAGTAATAGTAATATGTGTATATATAGTATTTGTATGATTACAAGAAATCTTGCACTAATAATATATGTGGTATCAGAGTTTTGCAATTTTTCAAAAATATATATATATATATTTTTAATTTTCTTTTTGTTATTATGGTATACTAAAGTCTCTTGAACCCACTGCCCTACGATTTGCAGGGTTATTACCTTCCGAATACCACAACGACTGTCCACCAACATAATTTGATCCCCATATATCGTTCGTCCCTATATTATTACTACCAACATTATTATTACCACCATTCATTGGTAATGATTCTCCTACGTGATTATCTGTTACATTTTGTCTTCCACGTATTGGAGGCCATTCATTCTCACTTGCAACAGATCGGTGTGATAAACGAGTTGTCCCGTGTTGTTGCTGTTGTTGATTCGGTGATGATTGCGGTGGATTTGACTCTACAAAAATTGTTTTTAACGAATTTATTTATTGACGGACTCTGAAATAACTACAAAGAATCCCTTCAATAAGGAAATCCAAAATAAAAAGAAACAATATAACTTAAAAAATTATTTCCTAACCTCCGGGCATTGCTGTAGAAAATAACGAATTAGAAAAATATGAACTTTCAACAAGAGCTAAACTCTGTCTCCTATTTACCATTGGATGAGGTTGGTCTTCACCGAGCAAAGCATTTGATCCGACCATATTACCAAAACCTGGTGGCGGAGATCTTGTGTTCGTATGAGCATCCAGTGATTGTCCTGTACCAGAATTTCTTCTTGGACGTTGTATTGGTTGGGGTCTATGTATGGTTTTTACATGTGAATCTTCTGGATGCTGAGACATACGACGATGCCCGATAGGAGCTAATGGTGTGCTTTGAGGAACATTAGATACCATGTGAGATACTGGTGGTTGGCTAACGACTTGTGTCCCTAAATTAAATGTCTGTGGTCCTAATGAACCTTGTCCTCCACCTATAGGCAACCCACCAAATGCACCAGTTTGTGGATTTCCTGATACTCCCGTGCCAATATTCCCACTTCCACTCATTACAGTATTTTCATTAAGCAATGATAAATTTGTAGAAGCCACTGATGGCGGTACTCCTGAAGGACCGGCTAAATGTGGTGTTGGTGCGATCGGATTAAAACCTCTAGGAGGTGGTATTTGTTGTCTCATAACTTGATGATGAGCGTGCATTGGTACTGGTGGCCCTCCATGATGTGGATGAACATTCATACCAATTGGACCCAAACCAGATGCAAATAAGGATGATGTAGGGTTTATTCCCTGTAAAGTGTTCGTTCCTTGTGGTGGTGGATTTATTACTTTCTTATTGTTCGTAAAAACATCATTAACAACATCATTTGTCATTCCTGTGGGGCCATTCATAATTCCAACGGGTTGTCCTCCAAATTGTGATTGTGGCCCGCCAGGACTAAATAAAGGATGTGGTGTGGGTGGTGGA